GCCCCCCCCCCAAATTACAGAACTGAAGCCTGCTCATGTGACCTGTAATATTCACAGTAATACTCTGTATTTTCATCCTGAATGCTTTATTTTGCATAGTGTGGTGGTGCTTATGGCACTCCAAGACATACTTCTGGTCAGAACACCTTGTTCTCCATCTGATGAGCTCATAGACCCTAATTCAGACAGCATAAACATTGCTAACATTTATCAGCAGGTATAATGGTAGGCCTACTTGTAAATGTATTCAGGATCTGAGTATGAAAAAATCCCAACAATATTTTGCGAAGTTGACAAGAATACAAGAAGTGCACTGCAGATGAGACCAGTACATCCAATTAGTCTAGCACACTGTATGAGGTACAGTATTATTGTTCCTTCAGAACAAGATACAAGAAGCCTTACAGAAGAAACTATAGCACAACTTGTAAGAGAAAAATATCCTCTCACCCAGCATGTGCCTTATCACCTAAACCAAGTGTTTAATCCACAGAATACACAGAATGCCTTTATTCAATGTAGTATAGATAGTTTTGATTGCTCTAAAGCAAATTTTTTTTTTTTTTTTCGGTAATCCTACCAATCTCATGACCTCAAGGAATACCCAGCAAAGATCTCCATGGTTAAGTCTTCCATAAGAGAAGTACTTTCCATTTGGTTTCAATCTGCCTTTCACTTCATTGGATATCTGTGTCCTTGGATGGTGAAAGGAGCAATTCTACATCCCAATCTACTTTCTCTAGACTTTTCTCTTTATATTGCCACTATTGCACCCCTCTCATTCATCTCTCCCTGAAGTGAATGAATCCAGTTTCATACAGAAGCATAACGTTGTCACTGAACATTCAGGCAGTCTTTGTTCTCTTTTGTGATTCAAGTATTGACATCGGTGATTTGACAATGTCATACACATCTTGTCATATTATACATCTTTCCTTTATGGCTTTCACTGTGCATAAGGTGGGGCTTACCTAAGTATCTACTATCACATCATTTTTCTCTAGTAGATTCTTTGAATCTGGATTTTCAGGAGAACCAACAAGATTTGATTGTTAGCATCTCAGAAAAGTCCCATGGAGATCTGGTATCAAACTTTAAGCTTTCTGCAGGACCCCGGCCTAGATACCCATTAACATGTGGGAGTAATCCGAAGCTTACTTCTAATGTACACAACTCCATTAGCATCACTTTTCATTTGTCATTACACTCCATATGCTTGCAAACTCCTACTCAGAGCTGCCAACTGGTTGCTCTGCAAGTCTCATTTAAAAAAAAGCATACAGGTTTATTGGCTTTTCTAGTTTTCTATCTTGGGTTGTCCCAGAAAATTACACCTACGTCAGTCAAGACTTCAAAGAGCTATTTACTGGACTGATGCTCTTCTAACTATTTTATATTGTGAAAGTAAGTCATTAAGATCACTTCACTGCTCACTGAAATGCAGGTCACCTTGAGGTTAAAAGCAGTTGCCATTTAAGGCATTATACAACAGTAAGAAATATTATAATCAATTGAAAGAGAAGGGAAATTTTAATATGAAATTAGTTCAAGGGTAAGTCCTAAGTGAAGTCAAAAAACTCAGGTAGCAAGTTTATGCGCTGTGTAAATTATAAGATCCCAAATACCAGAAGTTGTTTCAAGATTATTTTGAACATCTGATGGAATCAGAGATGCAAGTAAAAACCTGTCAAATTCTTTTGCTGAAAGTGAGAGTCAGAATACATGCAACTAGACAGCCAAATAGAAATGTCCTCCCACTCACCTGTGTTAATTGACAAAGAACTTAATTTCTGCAAAAAAGTAGCATTTAAAATGCTGGATTAATACTTTCCTTTTTGGTTGCTCACAATCCAGACAACCCGGAAGGGAAAGCTGACTCATCTATTTCCATTTTTCAGGTTGAGTGCAAAAAGCAAAAAATTCTAAATATTGAAAAATAAGTCTGTAATCCTGCAATTTGATTTATATCCACTAAACCCACATAGAATTTCACCGAACTCAACAATCTGTGCCTGGATCTGATTACAGGATTAGGGCCATTGTGGAAATTGCAGAAGGTTTTCCTTGACAAAAATTCAAAACCAAGAGCAACAGGAGAGGGGGAGGACAGTATTTTTAAATGCAACAGAATTTCTCAAAAATCTCCTTAGATTTCTTTTATGATGTGTATCTTCCTAAATTAAGTGTCCAGACAAACATTTTGTTCAAGTACTGCATTTAAGGTTTCATGAAGTGCCAGATTTTCCAGAGGGCTGACACTGAGATGCATGTAAACTTCTGGCTTCAACGGCCCTGTTACCTGACATACTATGCAGGTATTTGTAAAAGCAAACTTTCAACATTTTTCTTTGTAATTTTTTTTCCCTTCCTCCTCCCTCCCCATTTTACATTGAGAAAATTAGAAATACGAAACATATTCTCTGTTTTAATTACTTAAAATTTCATCTCCATGGCATCAACAGCAGGGTTTTCATTAAAGACATCACTTCAAAAACATTTTCTTATTCTTAATTCATGAATGACCTTTTCATCACCTGGTGGCACATTCCCGTTTAAGTGAAAAGCAAGAATGTTACAGCAAAACTCATGAATCTTCTCTATACACTGCTCTACATTACTTAATAAACAAGTTAATCTTTAAATGGCAGAGGAGTTAATTTAGTCATGCAAAACATGGTATTTTGATTTTGTAGAGTACAATTGTCAAAAACATAAAACTTTAAACAAATCATTAGTCACATGGATTAAAACACAAGCACATTCCAATCTTGCTGCTAACCGCTCAACTACAGAATTAGTACCCAATATATAGGTGAATTTTACATGAAATTAAATAAGATCCAAGCACTGCCTTTGTGGTTCAGTCTCCCATGTGTATTTTCCATTCTCCTTAGTACTTTTCCTCAAGTAAACACTTTTCTATATATAGACCAGAATTTATTGGAAAGCTTACTTTTCTTTGGGGTGGCAGAGAAATCTAAGGTGCTTTTCTTCAGAAAAATGGTATTTCTTTGAAGAAGGATTTTTCATTTATTTAAATTCTTTTCACACTAGCTAACCCTAGCTTTTTCCACAATTTCACTGTAAAAATGGAAGGAGCAAAACAGTGGAATAAGCCACATGATACACTATAAATAGTATTTCAAACTTGGTAAAAGTGAAAAGGATATGAAAATTGCAAACATTTCTGCTGTAAATTTTAGAGGAAGATTTGCTTTCATTACCACTATTTTGAATAAGCCATACAGGTGTGATTGCTTCCAGAGACAGACAATTAAGAACAGGTACTTCCTATCAGCTAAGGATCTATCTGGCTGATTAGGCAGTAACCCACAGAGCAAAAAAACCCATACAGGGAGCAGTATATAAGCATAAATTACAAGAACAATGACAGCAATCTCACACTGGTGCATGCTTCTAGATAGAGAACAACTGCCATATTTGCCAACATTCAGGTCTAGACAGACCATGCTAAATACACTGCTTGTGTGGCTACAGAAAAATGAAACAATTTCTCAGGCAAAGATGACTCAACTACCTTCTGTGCCACTTGAATACCTTTTAGGAAGTATTAAAAGCATAAATATCTCATTTCCACCTGAATTTCTAAATGTATTGGATATTTCCACTTCCGAAAATAAAGTGTTGAATAGCATATTGAAACAGGCAAACAGCGTATGTGACTAAATTGCTTTTGCCTCAGAACTCTTTCTTTTCCTGTGCTACTTCTATACAGCAGGTATCTGGGGAGATGACTAATTGTACAACAACTTAATGCTCTTAATGCTGTGAACAAATAGCCTCTAGAGAGAAAAGATGACAACCCCCTTGTGCAAATCCCATTTGCCATCATGGCACTGACGCCATATATTGCTCTGAAGTGGATCTGCCTCTTGCATAGTATGTACTCTCAACATTTCTACTGAGATCCAGTTCCGAAATACTCAAGAGTGAACCTTCCCAGGTCTAAAATCCCCTACCTCACACTCGCACCCTGATGGATTTCTCCCCTGTGCCAACTGCTCCTACAGTGAGCACACGCTTACACTATGTAAAAATCAGAAAAGATCAAAAAATTGCTAGCTTCTTTTCCCCCCATAAAACCACTCTGAAGAACTTGTTGGTTATATTTAGGTGATTTTAGTACTTCCTCATATACTTTGAGAAACAACACAAGAACCTCTTACCAGACATTGCAGTGAGATCAGCACTACTGCTGAACAGCTCTGTAATTCCAAGTCCTCTCCAGACATCTTTCAGATCAATTTCCTGTTCTACAGAGAACCTGCAAAAAGTAATAGAAAATAACAAAAAGCCCAGATGTAAGCAGTACTTATTGCTACCTAGAACTTTTAACCTTCTAATAATGGCAGTTGAAACACCAAGGTAAATAATGTAAAGTAGGAGATTCGGCACTAGTAGTATAGTATAGTGACACCTTCTACAAAAAGACTTAGAAACAAATTAGTTGACTCCCACAGATGGACTTTTTTTCCCTAATGCAGAAGCAATCAAAAATATGCTAATAGTATATACAGTCCCTGACCATAAAACCTCAGTGCAAGATTATGCAGTAGCTAACGTAAATGCCTACTTTTTATACAAAAGGTTTACTACAAAAACTGAACTTAATTGTACACACACTAGAATAGAATATAAAATAAGGCAAAGGACAGCACAAACTTCATAGACAGTTGTTTGCAAAGGAGTAGGCAAGTAAGAAAGATATTCATTTTTATTTAGACAGTATAAGCAAAGACCAGCAGTTATGAACACAAATATAAAGCATTTCTGGTTCAGCTTCTAATTACTGTGGTGGCAAAATTTTAATTGGATTTTGATTTTGAGTAAAGGACACGGAAAACAAATAGTTGTTAGTGCAAATGCACATGTGAGTATAACCTGGCAAGATTTCAGGGTTAGCTTGCAAAGCCATGTTCTAGGCTATGTTACTATGCTGGAAGGACAAACTGAGATTTATCCTGAGGGCAAGATTTTGGGCAACAGCTTGTTCCATTTACAAAGACTGCTTTTCAAAGGATATAAGAGTTATGCCTGGTGTTAGTAAGACAAAAAAGTCTCAAGTCCTTTAAGTATGGCCAGAAACAGACTGGACAGCTGGAGAAACAAAGTACTATGTCAGAATAATAAGAATGGCAGCCCCAAGCAGAAAGTACCAGAAGTCTACCGACAAACACAAGAGACTAATTACAAATGTTTGTTATGGGTGAGTTATGGGTTCTCCATAGAATAACCACACAAATTATTAGTGATTTACATTATGCTGACAGTGACTGGTTATAACTACACAGTACAAAATATATAGTCCATAAGGTGGTGTTACAGTTTCTCCAGCAAGCCATTCAGTCAGAAACAACTCTGCAATGACACTGCAGTCCTTAGTGATGGGTCTTACCTGTGCTAGAACCAAATAAAATAATACATGCTTCTGTTCAATTTCCTTTTTCAGGATTAAACTTCCTCAACTACATGGAAGAACATGTTCTTTTAATGAGAAAGTATAGCCCAGAACTCTGAGCAGAGAACAGCTGATGAAGAGTTGAGATGTACGATACCTCAGCATGCACAAGCCTTGGCAACTTGAAAGAGAGTAATCTGGATATCAAAAGATAACTGGATAAGAGTCGAGTGGGTCTTCCTCACTTACAACATTTACATAGAATGAGAAAAATCCAATACACAGTCTACATTCATAATGAACTTAGAAATGCCATTAGAAGCCAAAAATCTATGATGGAATAGATATTAGTCATTACTCAGAGAAGAGTTTTATGCAAGTTAAAATAAGATCTGGAGATAGTTCAGGATCGATAAATCACTGGTGGCATCGCAAGTGTTCATGTACCCTGTCCAGATGAATTTCCAGGATATGCCTGGAATAAAACCACAAGAAGTGATTCTTGTGATTTCATTGTTTTGGCAGTTCTCAAAAGAATCGAAAGAGACCAACAAAGATTTATGTAGTGAAGGAAGCTTCTAATGGTGTTCTGGCATATTCTGCAGTGTGACAGCATTTATTTTTAAAAAAAAAAATAATTAAAAAAGAAGATGATATTATCTTAATGATGAGATGTAGGTACACATATGAGATGACCTGAAAAGAGCCAATAGGATTTAGGAAGTGGAAATGTGTCCTGTTAGCTTCCTTCTCCTCTTGGAAAGCTGTGGACAGTCACACTGGTCAAAAAACTAAAAAGGCAAGGAGCTTGCAAGACCTTATGCATCATTTTAGCTTTAAGGTAAGAGACAAATCTACAGGTTGCTTATTCATTCAAATTTCCCTGACTTCTATGGTCCAAAAGTACAGATCTGTTTTACTCTCACTACGCACTTGTAAAGTATGCCCAGATCTATTTTACAGACTTCAGTAAAAACCTTAAGATGAATTGAGACTTGATTCCTAATGCTAGAGTTAGAGTTAAACTGTACAGAGGTCCTGTCTGTGCCATTGAATAAATCCAGAAATATTTCTTTCTGTATTAAAACTGTATCATAACATTTTGAAAAACACACCCAACTGTACCTACCTTACAAACAGAAAAGGTAAATGAATGTTAAAATGCATTTTATAAAAATTTCAGTGGTGTATTTTTCCCTTTTTGGCTTTTATTTTACCACAGTCAGTATTAAATGTATCAAGACATTTCAAGACAATTTAGCTATTAACTAGCAATGTCAAACTAGTAAGAACTATCAGGATAGGACAGTAGCAAAAGTCCGCATGAAAAACAAAATTTGAGGTCACAAATAGGAAAAATAACTGCAAAAAAGCATTTTTTTTCCAACTGCAGAGAATCACTGTAAGATATAAATGGAAATCAGGCAGGTTTAAGTTTTTGGACCACTAGACAGAAAACGCACTTATCCGCTAAGTGATGAATTGTGACCCAGAAAGCAAGCATGACAAAAGATGCTTTTGCATACTAATCAAGGAAGAGGTTTGGGAGATGTTTTTGAAAAACAAACCCGTAAAGCCTCAGCTGAATATGCATCTGAAAAAAGAAAATGCAAACAACTTGACTGGTTATATTGCTAAAGAATACTTACATGAAGGATAGCAGCAGTTACTTAACTACTGGCTAGAGGCTATACCCCTGACTGAAACCCCTGGGAAGGCAGATACTGAACGGGTCAGGGAGTGAAGGTACCTACAATACCTATAGAAGCAAGAGTCTGCTTTTTCTGACAGAGTTCACTGAAAATATCACATCAGCTGTATAAATACCAAACTATCCCTTTACAAAAATAAAACTAATTACTTCCCTTCTCCCCTTTTAGTTTTGTCATATGGTAAACCCCACTCTAAACCACTATTCAAAACAGTATCTCCCCTCCTTTCTCATATCCTCTAAAGACCAGTGAGAGTTACAGAAAAGCTATTAATGATATTTCAAATATTTTAGCTGACATCAGAACTAGCCTCTTTTGAAAAATAATAGGCTGCTTTACACTTTGAAATTTAATTTCAGGCTATGCAATCTGACGTAAATATTTGGCATGAGTTATCCTCCAGTCATATTTGGATTTCTTTGCATTCCTTATAGACAGTGATGTAGGCATTCAAAATCAAAGCTGACAATCTAGAACATAGATGAGATATTTAATCTCACTTCCCCAAGCCAGGCATTTGCTGTACCTCCAGACTTTGGAAACACCGAGCTACATGATACTAGCCCTGGCACATGGTTATTTGCAGTGTTTGTTGCATATAATGAACCATATGGTCCTATTTTTTCCCACAATCTTTTAGGTGCTTCTGATGATAAAAATACTATGAAAAATCAATTTCAATACTTCAGTATCAGAAGTCTTGGAATAGTTGCAACTGGGAGCATTAAAAACCACAAAGGGAAGTCTGAGAAAGAGACACTGAAGAAAAGATGAGGTATTTTGACCACAGGATCAGAACAGAAAGACTGGTCTGTTGAATCAAGAGGAGAGCTTCTGTACTTAAGCAGTTCTAGAAGGTCCACCAACACACATGTTCACAGATATATGCTTCTACAGACCACCCTAGAAAGCACCGAGCAGAAAGATACTAATAAGGGACAGTGACTCTGCCTATCAGCTGTTAGCCAAAGTCAAGGAGAAGCGAAGATGTGAGTCAGCTCTATATTTAATTTTACAATGTTCATTCGTAAAGTCTTTCTACTTCCTACATGTAAAACGCAGTCCAAATAGCTGAACAAAACCACTTTCCCTGATTTCCACTGTCTTTGGATCTTTCCCACATGAAATGAAGAACAGAATGAGATGCTTAGGAAGCAGAATTAGACTGAGAAACTAACAAACAGTTCTCTTGAGACTTTAGCAAGAACGATGATTTTTTTTCATGAAATTTAAAACTTGCACAAGCGTTAGATCAAAATGATGCATTTATGCCGTCAACAGTTTCCTTAGTTATATATGTGAACCTTTAGGTTTTGTACAGAGCATTAACTTTAACATACCATATCAGGCCATCTTTCTTCTATTTTACAGACTTTCGAGACGGGGAGGGGGGGGAAAGACGGCTTCATCTTTTATGATGCTGTGCAACCCTTCTGAAACACTGAATTTTTTGTAAAGTAATTAGGTGCTCAGGATTCACAGAATCAAGGAGGATTGGGGTACACTTTCTAGTTATACAACAGAAGTAAACTAGTGCCTAGTGTGATTCACCCCAATGGCTATAATTTCAAAAATTACTAAGAGTTCTGAATGAGCAAAAGCAAGAAATTCCAAGTTTTCAGACTGGTTCTAATACAATAAATTCTGTAGAACAAAAGCGAAATGAAGGAATAGTTCCATTGCTTGAAAACAACAATATTCTTGCTCAGAGGACAGGCCCTCAGGATGTGAATCACTATTTTAACCTAGCAAGCAGCCTACAATACAAAGCTGCCAGTTGATATCAATTCCAACATTTTGGTTGGAATTTTAGCAAGGTTGTCCTGAGATGCTAGAACTAGCCTGCATGTTTTAATACCCTGAAAACAAACAAGCAAGAAACCAAAAAAACCCACTAACAGCAAAACCAAACAAAAACCCCATACAGTTGCTCTGACCAGGTGAAGCAAGGTAGGTTATGGCTCCTTCTCTGGCAAGGTCCTTCTATTCAGGGCTAAATATGGGCTGCAAAATTGGCTAAGTATGTACTTCAGTGGGACAGTTTTATGCCTCTTCTGTGACTGTATCTCAAGAACAATCAGCACTGGCTACTCCTCATGAAAATGGGACTCAAGAGAGCATGTCAGAAAAAGAGAATGTTTGGGATTTTTTGGTTTAGGGTTGTTTTGCTGTTTAGTTTTTTTGGTTGGTTTGTTTTTTTCCTCGAGAGAAAACAACCTTCCTCTGAAAAAAACAAACAATAGACACCTTATCAACACCATCTAAGGCATTTTAAAGATATTTTGAATGTACAAAAAAGCAAGAAGGTCACTATAGAGACCCAGGCATACTGGAACAATCCTTAAAGAGATCTGCAGACTGTAGCACTGTTATTAGGTACCAGTTCCTCCTAAGTTCTTCAAATAATTTATGTTAGAGAGACAGCTTTGTAAATTAGATTCATGGTCTGTTTCACTCCTATTCAAAAAGTGGATTAAAATGTTGATCACTTTAGTCTGAGTTAAGCTGGAAACAATGATTTGAAAATGAAAATGAGAAAGTGTAATTTAACAATTCTGTACAAATCTCTCCTTTGCTATTAAGAGGAATAATACACAATTTCATTTGCACACAGATAATGCAGACAGAAATGGAAAGTTGTGATTTACTCTGCTTTGGCTAGTCATTCAGGTCCTATTACAAATGTATAAGTTTAAAAAATGTTCACTTTATAATTGGATAGTATCTTTCAGGATATAAAAATTTAATTTTATTCCACTGCTGCTTTCAATTTCTCAGTGGACAGAGCCTGCAGGCCACATTTCATAACATGCCTCTCTGAGTCAGAGCATAAAATATTTATGAAGTGTTTATTTAGAGCACTGAAGAAATCCTGTAGATCACCTCTGAATCCTTATGGAAATCCAACACTTTAGGAGCGTGTAATTAATCTCTGGAATTTTTGTAAGGAAACTGCAGTATTTCAGAATTACAGTATTACGGAATTTCAAGCTCGTGACAGTTACCGAAGGTAATCAGCACATGGTTGTATCTGTTTTGCCTTTGTATAGCCCTAATTCACAAGTGTTTACAAGTTCTTTGAGGTTCTTAGATAAGCGGACAGGCATGACAACTAGCCTGAGGAGAGAATAAATAAGGACATTTTATGACCACACAAAACCTAGGCCTCAAAACTCAGGTCTAAGAATGTGGCTACAGAGAGTCCTGGAGTCTTTGCTTTTGATTAAAAGCAAATAAAACCCAAAACTACTTCTATAAACTTAATTCAAGTCATAAACATAATTAATGTTATCAATAACATTCATATATTTAACTTTAGATACCTAAACTTCTTAAATTTGGAAGTTAGTTTTCACAGATTCCCTACATAATCAATGGGGAAAGACTTCTGTTGTGGATCTTGTACTCTAGAAATTCTTTGAGAGAAGATGTCCAACTTCAGCACCCAATGCACAGGCTGTGAAATGCTACAGTTATAAAAGGAAAGCTTAAGGGATGGAAGAATCCTCCTATTTTACTTCTCATTAACATCTAGGTAAGGTTTACCCAAGCCTGCAGGAAAAATAGCCCCTCCCTGCATCTTAGTGGACTGTTAATACTAAAGCTCCTGGGATCTGAGGTTCTGAGAAAAAAAAAACAAAGAAAAATCACAGGAATAGCGTACAGTAGATTCAGTGTGTATTAAACCTGCAATGCAGCTCTTTGCTGCTCTCCCTCCTTCTTCAAAGGAAACGCTACTTAAAAAAGAAAGGAACTCCTACTATGAGGCAGAGAAAAATAGCTCCAAAATGCTGCTGTTCCCTTGCCACTCTGACTCCAGGCATAGCAGCTTTAAAGAGAAGTGGAATTCCATCTCAAGTCAGAATCAGGGCATGCTGACAGCACCAGTCCATCTCAACCTAATTTATCCTGGCTAGCCTTCTTTTATTGTGCTCAGCTGTAGATAGTTTCTTGAAAGTGGTCTTTGCTTTGGAAAGGAAGCTGATAAACTGCAGGGATTCTTGCCCTTCTCTTTACATGTGAAATATAACAAACTCAAATCTCCAAGTCACGTGAAAACAAAGAACTATTTTAATGATTAAAAGGATGTACTATAGTTTATTTTTTCTGCTGCTACGTACCTGCTGCACAATGCCACAAAAGTAGAATAACTAGAAGTGATCCACGTAAAACTTGTGCCATATTGTTATATAAACACTTCAATGAAATCATTATGAATCACTTGAAGGACATCATGATCCTTCTATACATTATTAGTGATATTTAGTAGCAAACAACTTTGTTACTAAGTCAAGCATAGGGCAAGCATGAAAAATACGTGAAGGTAGATGAAACAGAATTCTAGGAAAGATAACGAAGTGGTATACGTGAGCAAACATGCCATTGAGCATAACCAACTTATGTCTACAAATGAACTGACAGAAGTTTCATCCCTTCTGGTAATAACGTCTTGTTATTCTATTGCTTCTTTAAGGAAAAAGAAACCAGCACTTACTACAACTAAGAAAAAAGACAAAGGACACGAATTGGCTGGAATCATCTTTCAACACTCAACCATTTGTATCTACACAGACACACACCATTAGAACTTTTTAAATTGGCAGCACATAGAAATCTAATTAGGACCTAAATGAAACATTTTAGCTTTTGTTAATTCAGACTTGCAATATTTCTATGGCTCCTGTCTAAATGGAACTTATCCATAAGGAGTTGTGCGATACTCTGAACATCAGTCAGAATGGATATACATTCCTGATGATGAAATTCTCCTTTCTGGAGCTTACATATGAAAGGGATGCAAATGCAGTGCTCGTCTGTTGCTCAACCAACCACCATTCTGCACCGCAGGCCCTCTGAGCTTTTCTGTCAAAGCAATCTTCACATTGGTGCCACATAACTGCAGACTTGATCAAGATGTTCAAGTTTTACCTACTGTGCTACTCCACTCAATTTGAATGCAGTCTTTCCCCTTCTGTCGATATGGGAGCATATTCTCACCTTGGTAAATACACTTCCACTTTTTGCTTCTTTACAGAATTAGCCCATTCATTAATCAACGAGGCTTTGACCAGTGGTTCCAATGTGACCAGTGGAACTTCCTGTCTGGAAAGAACAATCATCATACTAATCTCATCTCCCTCATATGGTATTTCCAGAACTTGATAGATACCACCTGCTTCATTGGAGCCATCACTGAATTCTCCTACAAAAGAAAAACAACAACAAAAAGCTATTAGAAGTATTTTCTTTTGTCTTCGCTGGAGATAGTGGAAAAATAGAAGGCTAATACTAGGCAGTATTTAGTGGATACTGGAAATAAAAATGACCCTCTTTGTTCCATTCTGTATAAAATTCATATTGGTTTCTTCATCATAGGATTTCAGGCTTACATCTGCTTTCTTAAAGAATAGGATTTCAGGCTTACATCTGCTTTCTTAAAGAAAACAAGCTTATGCAATCACACAGCTTGTAGATAATCACACTTCTGAACCTATTACCTAACTTCCACTGGTTAGACAGAGAGAAGTCTAAAAGTTGTTAAGGCTGTCAAGACTTTCATGGAAATGGACAGAGGTTTTTTTATTCAGGAGAGATAATTTTTCAATGATGATACGGAGTGAAATACTGCCAATACCAGACAGTGTGGAACCCACTTGGAGTTCAAGCTCAAGATAAAAATGATCACTACTTCTGCTGTTCAAAGAACCCCTATTTTACCTTCCTACAGATATTACAACAGTAATGAGCAAACATTACTCATTTTAATATTTAGTGCAGCACAAGAAAAATATTTTAGTGAGAAGCAGGACTAGCTTGAGAATTGTAAAGAGGTTAGATGTAATGGATAAACATTCTGAAATCCACCATGTGGCACCAAAAAGTACCTAAAAAAGCAATCAAGAAAAAGGTCATTATAAATGTTGCTATCTAGTTAAAATACACAAGCACACACATTACAAAAAGACATCAAAATCATAGTCCCTTCACTGGACAAACATATTTAAAATTCTAGGTGGAAAAGTAGACAACACAAATGAGTATTCCTGCAACAAACTTATTAAGGGAAGACTTACTAGCTTTAAATCGCTAAAGGTCCAACTCACCATAGTAAAACTCTCCCTGCTGGTACATCATTGGAATTTGCACTTCACTTTCATCATCTTTAGTGAAAGAAAAAGTTCTTGTATTTTCAGGTCTGAACTGTGATTTCCAATTGCCTTTAAAGTAGATTGCATTGATGAGCGCCAAATGAGTTAGAGCACCAAAATCTCTTGAAGACACAAAATCTTTGATCATATCTAAGAAGAAAACCAACTGTCAGTCTGCATGTCAAACTGAGCATTGAATCAAAACTTAAGACAGCTTGAAAAATCCAAGAAAATAAAAAGCTGTGCTAACATGTAATTTCCAATTCAGATGTTTCATTAAATCTCAAATTAAACTGCTAGTGTTTTGTAAACCTAAATCACAGTGTAGGTGCGTAAACCCTTCCATCAAGTACGTGTTAGTCAACTGTTTCTTAATCACTACTTAAATATACCACACAAAGAAACCAAGTGGAAAAAGGGTCACATAAGGAATGTTTACACTGGTGTTATAGAGTTCTGCACTATCGTTTTAAGGTCAGAACTTCTACAAACTTTGGCTCCAATCCAAAGAAGCACTTAAATGGGTGCTTAATTTAAAGTATTTAAGTATACCCATTGGAACTTCACCTGGGCCAGTTCTGAAAGAAGCATTCAGTTTCAGTAATGTCCTACTGACTTCAAAGCAAGGACTAATCATAAAAATCCCACATAAATTCACAGCATTTGTTCTACTGACATTAGCTCTTGAAAAGCAAAAGAGAAAAAACATCTAGCATCTGCTCTATTCATGGGAGGTCTGTCAACTGAGCATGGCAGCTGCTTTGCTCCTACTCCTAAATAAGTCATTTACATCAGAATACAGTCTGTTACCTGCTTTACCTCATCTTAAATGGCTTGCTTTTCAGCGAAATAATTTTGAGTTTGTTAGATTTGGTGCACTGACTAGATTTGTCACTATTCTTGAAGAATTACAACCTGCTTCAGATAGCTTTCTTGCTCACTTCTATTTTTAACCGACATTGCAATACAAGGTGTTAAATAAACACATTCCTCAATTTGATTATTACTTCTTAATCCATGGTTTAAAATATAAATTCATTCTGCTTTCTGGAGCATATGACACTGACTGGTGTGAAATTTGTGTATCACAGGGCATTATTTCTTCTGGGCTGCTGTTTGTACTTTATTTTATCTAGAATGTTCTTAGAAATTAGATGTGACCAATACTGCCATACTCACTCTCCGTGGTTGGGAAAAAAAGAAAAAATTATGAAGGAATACAGGAATACACTTCCAGTTTTCCTATTTCTATTTGGTACATCATATGCCCTTATATTTTTCAGTCACATCTTGTTAATGCACTAATGTAATGTTAAGAATTCTTCTGTCCAGAAAAACCTTTGACGCTTATGTTTTCTGCTCCGAGCCCCCCATCATGCTTAACATGCTGAAATTGGAAACCTGCCTGTCTTGTACCCCTTTCCTAATGAGAAAATGAGCCTCCTCCGTCAGAGCTGGCAGGCAGGAGAGAATGAGATCTAGTGGTCAGAGACTAGGCTGAGGGAGTGTTACTATCGCAACCTAATGCTAAGAGACTTTTGTTAGCTCTGCCCAGCTCCTTCCAGGGCAACGGTTATGAGCTCAGTCAGCACGTGTGGCAGGTGTTAAGCAGGAGAACTTGCTGTTCTTTCTAAAACAAAGAGAATTTTACTTTTCCTTCAGACATATACCACATTTCTCTGAAAACATTCTGCAATCTGCTGCATCACTTACATTCCCTCTACTTCTGTAGCTGGAGATAAAGGGCAGAATTTATTATGACTATAATAGCTGCCATTTTCCCTTGGAAAAAAATAGATTATTTCCAAAATAGAATAAAAGCATTATATGCAGTGTTTTTCCATTTGGTGCCATACATTTCCATAGGGCATTACGGATTCTTAAATGCTCAGACTCCATGGTGATGTGTTAATTCCTTACAGGGGATTCTGATACCTTCAAATTTACAATGGTACAACTGCTGTTAGAGCCAGATCCCTGCTGAATTACTCTTAATATATCAATCTCCAGAGCGTGCCAGATGAGCTAGAATGAGATTATGCTTTGATCCCTACAACGGGGGACTAACTTCACTCACATACCTTGAGACTCTGCATGCATTCAGAAAATGTCATATCTTTGGGATTCCACAAGCGAAGCAAGCACTACATCATGCAGATCTGACTGTGCATATTTACAACAGTAACTTTGTGCTTACTCCCCTACTGCAATTTTTTGTTGTGAAACTCTGTTGACAGTCTTCCTAAAATCAACTACTCTCTCAACATGCTATCTAGTTTCCTCACATTGGAAAAGATTACACTACAGGGTTTGATTTCCTGGTTCAAAATTATTTTTTATATTCCTTAGTATTCTATTTCTCAGTACCTTGTGACTATGAGTTCCTCAGAGAGCTAGCAATACTCCATACCCCCAAAGTATAGGCCAATAACCCCTCTGCAGACAACTTTTCTGCAGTTAGCTATACTACTTATCTATTTTTTTTGTAATTTAATACCAAAATCAGTACTAAACTACTACTAAAATGCCTACCATTAAAGCATTCCCCTTTAATAAATGTTACAGGTACTTTTAAGAAAGGCAAAAAAAAAACATTAAGACAGATACTGCTATGAGTAGCAATGGCTAAAATACTTAAGACAGATCACTTCTGCACAGGAAAAAAAATTTAGTTTCACGGAGAGCTGATACCAGAATTCTTTTTATGGGAGGAGATACTTTAGTCTGAAACGGAACAGATAAAAGCCAAGGTAACAATTCAACAACACTGTACAACTTTGGAAACACAAACACTTACTGCAGGAAGTATATAAAAGAATTACATGGACTTACTATTTGTATGATTCTCCACCCACTTATTGATGTGGGTAGCTACAGCTGCACTTTGGCTGAAATCTATATTCTCTACTTCAGCTTTAAAGTATTTTTTCACCAACTGCAGAAATTTGTCACTGATATGAAATCCATTCTGCACATAGAGAGAGTTAGCAATATTCAGAATATAATGACTTTCTTCAGTAGTTGCCATATCAGAAAGGTCCTTCAAGAAGGTAAACTCTTCACCTGAGGAAAGAAAAACAGCTTCAGTGTTCCAGAAAAGAAAGTTATTCCGTATATTTTCTGTTGGAAAGTCACAAAGGCATTTTATGCAAAAAAAAAAAGTCTTTTTTTAAAAATAAACTTGTTTCTGAACGTACACACACCTTCAGATCTGAAAGAACAATCTACAAGGCAGAACATATTATTTAGAGCTTATTTTTTCTACTACCTATAATTGGCATAATTAACAAGACATTTGGATTCCATTACAGACAAAGGTATCAATGGCAATCCTTTCAACATCAAAAAAGTAATTAAAAAAAATTCTTACAGTTCACACTTGTATATCTTGTCACCAGAAAACCTTTACAGAATTTTTGTTACATCCTAAAAGCCAGTTGTTTAAGGAAAAACAAACTTCAAGTTTTGAAGCTAAGGACTTCCCCATAGACTTCTCTCTGAAAAAACAGGTCTAGAATTTCCCAGGATCCTGCATGTGGTAGTACAGAATCAGTTGCTTGGGCAGTGAGGAATCCTGAGTAGGATTAAAGTAGTCTGCTTCAAGATAGGAAGCTTATACTGTTGCATCGTTGACCTGAAGCCGAAATTTCTAATTTACAAAAAAAAAATCCCCGAACAAAAAACCAACATTAAAACAACAAAAAAAGGAAAAAAAAACCAACACAAAAAACCCCAGCTTAAAAATTAAATGCAATGATATATTCCAAGCAGAAATCAGTGGAGTACTTTCACTGAATACCACTCATATGCAGGAACGGAGAATGGCCCAGCTCAGATCAACTGCATAACTTCTTCACTTATAGCCAAGAGATAATTTATCAATGTTTGAGAGACAAACTGTAGAACTAAATAAGTGCTGTAGTCTCCATAGAGAGGCATCATCTGTGCAGTGGTACTGTTGAACACTGTATTCAGAAATTCTTCCCCAAGATCCTTTCACCGAAGACTGAAAAATCCAGCATGTTGTATGAACAAAAAACTTCATTCAGGTTTCAAACCAATTATTTTGATATCAAAATTCATAGAAATTGCCTCTTCAAAGTCATTTTTGGCCATTCACTCTTTCTCTCCATTTACAGTCATATCACAGCTGCTTGCACTAACAGAGCGTGCTTGCACTTCACAGCACAACACTACATCCAGATGCACGGCTTAGCTCATCCCATACTACAAACGGGACGGTGTGGTAGTATTGTTCTCCACTAAAGAAATGAACCCTGCTTCTCAGAAAGGCTGATGGGAACACATAGAGTATCGTGCTGAAACAGTCAAGATGCTAATATTTCCTAAATTAGCCTGTATACCTTTATGCAACATTATGCAATGCAGGTAGAACATCAGCGACACAGAATTAGGGTGAAGAACCTACAGGTTCTACCTACAGGAACCAAACAAGTTGTGTCAAAGTAAGAGACATTTTCAGTTAAATTACTAAGATTTTAATACTTTCTTATAAGCAATATTGCTAAAATTACTGCTTTCCTTTTCAGGTTTCATTATAATCCCTAAAAACGATGTTCCTAAAATTCTTCTTTTAACTCTGGAGGCAAAGGCAAGCTTATTTTGCAGACAGAAACAAAGATCAACAGTTAACTGCAATTGCTTAAGATTCAGGTGCCCAAGCCAGGGTTGTATGTTAGCATCTCTCAGCTTATGCAGAAGCCACTGAAGCATGCTTCAGCATGCTCAGGCCATCAAGCAGGATGCCAAGAAACCTACTGATTAATAACCCATGGACATGACCGGGCCGCTTCCATCGTTGTTCAGGCACTGCCATCTGTTTCTTTAAGACAAAAAGCCCCATAGGAAAACATGATTAAAAGGCCTTACCATTTTTTAAGCTGTCAAAACCCAAGGAATGTCGAATTTCTTTCAAAGTGGTTCCATGGGCTCCAAGCTCTACCATTCCCATGGCTATTGCGATGCTCAGAGGAGAGAAAAGAATATTCTCATCTTCTTTTGCAGCTCGCAGCTGATTGTAAACATTCACTGAAAGCTCAGCAATGGTTTCATCAGGAAAATTTGTCTTGAAGGCTTTGCTTTGCAAAACAAGCAAAGACAACAGTCCAAGGAAATACATGTCTTGAGATTCTAAGATCTGCAAGATAAATTTTAGAAAAAATAAGTTAGTCTTTTTTAAGTAACAAAAGATTTAACTTGAGAGAAAAAAGAATAGTAAACTTTTTAGTCTTAAATCTATGTGGAAAAAACTAGTCAGAGTTCAATGCACAAGTCAGTTACTTAGAGGAGACACTAATACATATACTGTTCAAACCGAAGGAATGATCCATTTTCAAAAAAATAAACCTACTTGATTATGTAACTATATGTTTCTGAAATCTTTCAGCCACAGGTTAACAAAATGGCTTCTACAGAAAAAGACCTCAAAGACAGAGCAACGCCTCTCCTACTTTTACATTTTAATTTTGCTGTTGTCGTTGTTAAGCAATGTTGATCTGGAATTGGTATGTGTTTCTGTACTTTTTCACCAAGGAGACCTACAAATCCACATTTCTTTCATTTGACCTTCCAGTAAGATGCAACTTATTCATCTAAGTCACTCTAAGCCCCAAACTGGTAAAACTATTTCAAGCACAGTTCTTACTGACATCGGTGACAAAGGAAACATACCATGATGTTGCTCAGTTGCAAAACACGTGGCAAGCAGCCAAAAATTCTTTGAAAGAAAAATAAATCATGTCTTAGTTACCAAATGAAATCCCTTTTGTTAGTAAATAATGGCGAAAAGTTTGATAGTTATGCTAGCTGAGAGACAACACCTGCTCAGAGAACCTCCTCAGAGGGTAAGGTTACTGTACACACCAGTGAGAAACATCCAAGAGGGAAAATAAGAATGTAAACTAAATAGCAAAAAGGGTTAGCACTAATGCTTTTGACTAATCCATCCTTCAAGCCTTGCTAAAATACTTCATTAAGCAACAGTTCTCACTATCACAGTTTAGCTCATCACACAACTATTGATACTAAAATTCCAGCTCCTGAAGCAGTGTGTGTATGTCTCCATCCTTCTATTTTTTCCTTTAAACTTCATGCTACCTTGGCATCCGAGTCACTACTGCCAAGTGTCTTGGGTCAGAAATATCAAGCCAACAGAGCTCACATTTCAATTCCTTCTCTTTGCCACTCACGATCGCTCTAACACTTAACAAAGCACAGATTCCTGAAGCAGTAGGTTAGACAGTACAAGACTAAAAGCTTTAGTCCAGAAGTGTTTACATGTTGTTGTGCCAGTCCGCAGGGCTTGTCAGCATGGGACAAGTTTGTGTGAATGTGCTGTTCTGTTGCTCGACTGAAGTCAATTTGCATGCAGCCAGCCCAAGTGCCTCTGCCTTATGCTTCCCGGCTCTCTTGTGTCTGCAGTTACCATGGGTTTCTATATACCTGACACAGAGACCCTTAGTAAGCTTTATGCAACATTTATATTATGTGTTTCATCTTCAAAGGACTATGTAACATTATCTAATTAACTCGCACAACACTGAATGATACATAATTTAAGCATTATTACTCACATTTTATAGCTGAGAAAATATAAAAAGCAACAGGGTATACATACGTGCTTTGGCAGCAACCAGTGCAGTCACTAGTTAAGATTCTTCTTGTCCCCTAGCCACGGATCAGCCTTTTGTTTATTTTAGCACTGAGAAAATTAAATAGATGAACTGATGCAGCAATCACACATGCTACAGGGGAAAAGGACAGGCTCTTAGTGCCACACGGTAGCTACAGCCTTGCTTTTCTCCCACCCCACCTCTCCTTCCTGATGATTGTCTCCACAGACGTAAGAAATATGCCCCTTTTCTCAATTTCTAGCAAGCCCTCCTCTATGCTGGCATCACTTCATCTCTCTGGACTACCTGATCAATCTTTCTCTGATTCTTAGCGAGACATCAAAAAAATCTTCACTGAAGGCTCTTACTCCATTTAAGAACGGCACAGAATAAGTCACATAAGCCTAAAGCACCAGCTTCATACTGTGCCTATCACTTATAAAACTACCCAGCACTTCACCACTACCCAATGGAAAACACTTCAGTCTGAGCCATGACCATTGCTATTTATTTCATAAAGACCGAGACAGTCTGTTTGTTGTCCAAAATATTATCAACATACCAGAAACTTCCCCAAGAGCTGCTTTTCTTAGTAGCAGCTATTTTTTTAACCTGTCCATTTATTAATTATTGACTTAAAGATATTAAGGTTTCTGTTATAGAAAATAACTGGATTTCTCCATTTTCTTTGTGATCACGGGCATTCTAGAGTTCTTTATTAAAAAACCCCAACATTAAAAAATGCCTCTCTCCTCGTGTTACATAAGACTTCATTCAGCACATCCCTGTGATGGACTGAGATCAGTATTAGTCTTTCATCCTAAAAGCGGTAAAAGGCAAGAAAGGCTTATAAACTTACGTCACGCAAGTCCATGGCAGTGTCAAAAATGGTACTCAAAAACCAGATAAGCAGAAGCTCATCTTTCTTTTGTTGAGGACGAACCCAAAGCACCATCTTAGCTTTTAAGCTGGCCTGCAAATTTGGGGAATCTTATATCCTAATCTAAGCAAACAAGCTGTGTTGCTCAATGTCGATGCAATTATACAGACAGCTAAACTTCTCCCCCCTGTATCAAGAACCGTTTGAGCTCACTTTGAGACCTGACAAGGTTACAACAGACATAAGATAATCTTCATTTTTAAAAAGGAAATTTCCCCAGCCTTTTAGTTGCAGAGGCAGCTATTCAGCACTCCATCGCTGATCTTTGTCATATGTGCTACCTCCAAACAGGCTTAAATAATTGCAGGGGGGAAGGAGGGGGGAAATTTATACATCTTAATTAAGTGCTTAACATGTAGGTTAAACTATTTGAATGCTAACAAAATTTGGTATTAGACAACTCTAAAAAAACCAAATTATATACAAATCAAAGTCTTTCTTCCTCACCACTCTGGAAAAGCTCCTCATATGAAATAATGAAGTTATCAAATTTTTAATTATTTAGCTGGACAGAAAAGAGAGTAAGTACATAGATGGGAACAAACAAAATCCATACTGAGATGTTCTTAACAAGACAAAGTACTAAACTCAAACTTAGTTTTTAAATACATGCTTAAATCCCATTGATGGCAATGTCAGGGGTTAAGCTGTGCAGAATTACAGTTCTGGGTAGGAATGAACTAAAGCCAAACAATTTAGATTTCCTCCCTGCCCCTTCCACATCACTTTTAGTCTACAGAGGTTTTCTAGGAGCGCTCACAGTGAAGTTCCCCATACACAAGTCCAGGGAAAATGAAGAGAGCCAGGGAGGCAGGAATGGGTACCCGGGTATAGGCAGAGGATGTGACCAGCTCTTTTGCTGGCAAGTGCTCTCAAGATATTCATGAAAATATGGCACTCTCACAATGTGTGAATAAGAGTACAATGCAAGGGAAGATGTTTTAAAACAAACTGGAGATCTGTGGGTGATGGTCAGTGGGGAGAAGGCTGTTAAAACAGAACAGACATTTGATCAGCCCTTGCCAGCCACCGTGAAAATGGTCTAGCCTTATCCATCTAAACTGAGATGACTGCAGTAAATTCTTCAGTTCAATTCTTCTTGCACTTCTGGTGCAAGCGTACACTGTTCTACTGACAACTGGGAATCCAGCTCTTAATTATCATTCTAGTCATAACAGTTGCTGCTTCTCTGATTCTGCCTTACTTTAGGCTAATATTACTTTTGGTTTTATGCTTCCTCATGCCTCTTCATGCAGCAGGTCCTGATCCAACAAACAGCTGAGCACTTATTATGGAGCAGCATGTTCTCAGCCTCTCTTCAGTAAGAGTCGAGGGCACTCTGTTTTGTTTCCGCAGCAGTACGGAGAACATTTTTTAAATTGACTGTACCTTATTCACAAACACACCTTAAGTGAAGGAAATGAAGCTGAACATTATGTAATCTATGTCCAGGAAGTTAAACAACTCTCATGAGTATCATCAAACTTTTTAGTCAGTCTTTTTAGACTCTTCCTCAGAGTCATCACCAGTACAGTCTGTCATTGCTGTTCTGCATCAATGAAATCTAGTTCAATCATACTGCATCAGCTGAAAAGGAGGTAAAGTCTACACTGAACAATGTTTAAAAATCAAGAACCATCAGTTTCAAATGTCACTGCATGCATTTTGCATTTATTGGCTACCTATACGAATAAAAAAAAGCTGTTAAAACTACTTGCACTCCTCAATCACACAGATGTTAAGACTAAAGATATGAACTTTTCATTTGAGGGCCAGTCTCAGACAGAACCTAAGTTTTGGTTTATTTTATCTTAATTGATGCATGAACACCACTCTCTCCTACCAGGCACTGATTCTTTGATTGCAAATAGACAAACACTCTCCTTGGAATAGCCTCTTCTCAAAAATTGTGTATCACAAATCATCACTTGCTAAGAGTATTTGTTTGTCAGAGTATTAGTTTTGTTCTTGCTTGCAACTGCTCTCAGAGAAGAAAAGCAGCAACAAAACACTAAACAATGCAGTATTGCTTCAAAATCCCGAGAAACACCTGTACCACCCAGATGAGACCTTATTGCGCAGCCACACCTGTGCATGTGTTATCCAGCAACTTTTACCACAACTTCAATGTAAATCGGCTTCTCTAACGTACATCATGTATATGCTTCTCTATCTGAACACCAACTCCACTCAGTTTGACATTCCTACTGATTCTTATAGTGTTTCTGCTCTGGGTAGAGAGGCATGCCTGCTTTGTCTGGGGGCTTCTTTTGCCTTTGGACATTGTTCTGTACAGGGTTTCAGAGTTTTGTGGAGACAACTTAAATGAAAGGCACTCCTCCTTCTGATTTTTTTGTCACTTCCCTCACACATTACTAAAAATAATAAAAAAGAGATTCTGGATATATGTCATTCAGTGGGTACTTGCAATGAGGTCATGACTAGTTCAATTTCCAGAAAACGTTTCCATTCAAAATTTCAGAAATCTTCTGTAAAGAATTCATCAGTCCTGAAATTCAGCCTACCACATTTCTGCAACAGGTCACAACCAGGTTGGTCCAAGGGCAGCAGTCCTGGTTGTTTGCCC